AAATATAAAAACAATATCAGTACACATCACTGAACGAACTAAAGACAAATAACTATGAACAAGTTAGACTCCCATTTCTACGTCTGATATAACCGAGTGAAACAAGAGGTAAGATAAACATATAGTTGGCAATTCTCAAAGATCGATTAACTCAATGTTTCGTCGCGTGTGAATTTCATAAAAATATCTTGATGTTTATGTAAATATCGGAACACAAAAACAGTTTCTACCGCTAGAGTTGTGTTAACTTCGCTGTGTAATAGGCGTCTGAGGAAATCTCGGTGTGCTCCTAGTAACGCTAGATAAAATAATCAGTTATTAACTTACTCCTTTAGGCTCTGAAGTCAACACATACGAGCAACAAGACACCAGTAAAATGGGGTCTTCATGGAATCAATCAAGATAGGCCGTTAATTCAGAAGACAGCTAGTCATTTATCTTCAGGCACAAAGATTTATACATAACGCATTAAATCAGCTATCATCCCCACACATAATTCCCTTGTAACAGGTATCCCAAAGGAGATTTAGTGAACTCTAGAAAACGAGGGCTAAGTGCTGTTTTAGCATCACAGGCTAGTGTGTGCCAAACCTCCGTGAACCTCAAGAAGTGAAGCAATTTAAACTTAAGACAGAAGGAAAGAAAAAAATAGTTTGCTTGACAGCTACCGTCCCACTGAACCATTTCGTTGTAAGTGCTTATCCTAGGAAACTACACTAATCCCTTGCTCCAGCCAGTGCTTAATAATCTCCGAACTTTTCACAGTACTGAGAAAATATGGATTTCTTAAACGCAGAAAATTTATAATCTGGTAAAAAAAAGCAGCCGCAGATAAACACAGACACACATTTCATTTGGCGGCGTTTGGTTTGACGTACATACTTGCAGGAATGTGCTGGTCGCACTTTACAGACGGAACGTTTCTCCATGTTGTAAACTCGGTCATGCAAATGAATCAAACCTATGGCACGATGGGCTGATTAAAGCTGATGGTTAATGACCTGGAAAAAACACCGGAGAACACGATTTTGAATGTTTTGAATGATTTTACTTGCGTTCGAAAAGGTGAAAATGACTATTATCGAGAGCGTAATCTACTCGAAAATCATTTTTGAAAAGCTTCGAACTTAGATTGGCAGCATGCCCCAGACTAGAATCACATATGCAAATGCACGACTTCTCAAGGCTCCGGGTGGTTCAGAACTTTAAGTTTGATTCACAGATGTTTCAACCAAACCACAGCGAAACAGGATGCGAAGTATACCCTCACCAATCAAATCCATCGTCATCAGGTTATTGGACTGAGATTTCCATGTAACACATCAAAAGAACACAGACGCATTCTCCATCTAGACGGAAGGTCACTGATCTTTTCCGAATCAAAAATTCAGTGTGAAACACTCGCAGGGAACACAAATGAACAGAATGCTTCGCGTCACTTAATGAACATCATGGCAACCAGATTTGTTTACTTCCGCAGGTTTTGTGCACCTAGTTGTGGTCGATTTGGGTTGATCACCAGTCTCATTTATCGTTAAAATCTTGGTATTTGTGTTGCTTAATGAGATTTAGATATAGTTTACCGGGTCAATCTAACAGTTTTTGTCTGATAGGTACAAAACTTTCGATAATACGACACTATGCTTTAGAACTAATGGGATTAGGAAAGTTGCTGGTATGTGTCCAAGATCATATAACGTAAATAAGCAAATTCCAAGGAGCTCCGATAACCAGGTTTACTCCTTCATCGATAACATATTGAGGGAAACGGTGGATACTCACCAAAAGCCCAATGTTTAAACCATTACCAGTGAGAACGTCGTCTATCTGGATTCGATGGACGTCATCACCCACATCTTTCAAGACAAAGGTCAGATGCCATCGTCAGGCCAAATTAAAGAATGCCCATTGCATCTAGAAAGTGCAAAGTCATGCTTTGACACGTGGAGTCTTCAGATATGTATCTTAAGATTTAGGCAGAACCAATAGAGTTTGTAGAGAATTTCACATAACTCAGTGGTTGTTTTAGCACTGATGGAAGTATAACTGACATGCTCAGGGCGCGAATTTTAAAAGTCCAAATCATTTTTGCAGATCAGCGTTATTTGTGGCGAAAAAAGACATTTTAATCAGTTTCAAGGGTGGTGTGTAGCAGGTCGCAGTAAGGGCTGTATTTTTGTATGTTTGTGATTTGGCCTCTACGGACAAATGAGGCGTAGTTTTAAGGTTATTTACTACCGGTGTTTCAGATGTTACTGGCATCGGATGGCGCAAACAAGATCAAAGTGGTATTTGGAGGTGCAAAAGGTGCTTCAATTGTGAAATCTTCAGCAACAAAAACTATGGTGTCTTAGCCATGCTCTACGCATATAAAAACTCCGCCCGGCGAGGCCAGTGTTCTCTGTGCCTCATTCAGAAAGACCAGGTGTAATTTTGACTTGGCCGAAGGTTTGAGGATCACAAAGCGTTTATGTACCTTTGGTGCGGGACCCTTGGTGGGGTACTTGTAGCATCCCTTGTTAAGCTTAGCTGAAAAAATTGCAAGTAATGAGAGTTAATATATGGTAATTGCTTTGTACTATTGTTTTGATTCCACTCTATCTACCTGAACGGTCGAGGTTGTGCGCACCTCAGAATGCTTGAGGGCCCATCTCACATCCACGGATTTTTTTTCCACTAAAGGCCTTCTAATATAATGGAACGGATTTTGTGCACAACAGTAGAACAACAGTAAACAATGGTGTAGCCTTTTATAATGACGATATTTCTACCTAAATTTTGCACCTGATCTAAATGTCTACACAAGAATAAATTCAAATTTAATAGCGAAGCGTAAAAGGGAGTTGCTGTCTGTAAGTGACATTTATGCTGAATATGAATAACTATCTTTATGTATGTATCTAAAGGGATAAGCGCCTGGTACGCACCCTAAGGGCCCCAAAAAGTTTAGTCTACCTTATTAGCAAGTGGAGTGACACTTACTCATAACTGTCGGGTAACTATCCATAGGTCATAAGCAGACTATTGGGACTAAAGAAAGCGAGAAATGAAGTTTGTGAAAGCTTATTCTGATGCCTTCAAAAAGGCTCACAGGAGAACAGGAACCCAAACAATATAATCTATTCAGAAAACAAGAAAGCTGTTATATTTTCAATTCCGAAGACAACCATTGAGCTATCTGTGCGGAAACGCAGACCCATAATGTCCACATTTATTCTTTACTTTCTAGTCACCTACCAAAGGGCAGATTGGCTTACACTTAAACGCACTGTGGCGCAAGTTCCAAAATACCCGATTAAACTGTCACTAGAATGGGAAAAAGCATTCGGGTCGGAGATCATCTCAAAATAAAACACTGATATCCTAACATCCGTCACATACAAGCCTAGTAAGCTATATTTGAATCTCATTGAGCAAAACAAATCCCACGGTTTTAGGGATAAATGAGGCGCTAGTGCTTAACCCAAACAAACTACAACTAGGTGCACAAAAAGTGTTAAAGTGAAGGATTTTTTGCCATGATCTTCATTAGGCAACAAGGAGCAATTAGCTACTCTGCCTCTGTTCACTGCTGTTTCTACCCTAAGTGAGATATACTCTGCATATTTCAAGACCACGACTGAAGCATAATACTCTTCTTATGATATAGACGATCTAAAATACCTTGAGTTTGTCGCCAGAATGCTCCCTGCATAACTCGACTGATTTTCTCATCTTTTCTGTTTTTAAACATCCTCATAAGGTATGACATATAAAGCCTACTTGTGGACGTTGATGGTGACCTCTATCAGCAGACTTTCTACAATATAGGCATTGTTTTGAAGCATCAACTGAACTCAGTGTATTATCTGAGAGGACCAGTGCACTATACGAACAGTAATGTGTAAACCCGCAATGTTTGGTGGTAAAATATCATCGCACTTGCGTGACTAATCATCGTTTACTTACTTATAAATATGATATATCAAATTATGCAGTTTGTTGGAAGTCAGGAGCTTGAAACTAATGACGCTGCGGGATGGGTTGCGTAATCAATAACTTTTTGAAAAGATTGTCACTGTTGCTGAACAGCTTTGCTTCCCACAAATAAGTTCAAATTTGTCTTAGTATTTATTTGGGAAATGCCCCGGTTTTCAAGTAACTGAGCTTATCCATAGCAAAAGACATGAATTAGTTAATTTTGTCTCTTAAAGAATCACAATTTTATACTTAACGTTTTTGAGCTGTATATTTTAGATCAAACAAAATCCCCAAAATGATTACTAACCCTCCAGAAAAGGGAGAATGAAGTTTATTTTATTGAAATTATCCAGGTAGTTATGTTTGTCCCATTTAGATAACAATCCCCTTGACAAACCAGCTTTCTAAACTTTGGAAGTTGATGCTGCTTTCCTGGCTGTCCCATATTTGTAAAGCCTAATAATACTTACGGGCCACCAAGTTAAAGTTTTACCGATAAAACGACATGACATACACAAAAATATTCCGAAAAGAAGGGCGTCAGGAAATTTTAGGACTGAACACTGAACGAGGACAAAATTCCAAAAAGTGATACTACTGTCACTTTGGCACATCACCAGATTCGCCTCTGTAAACACATTGACCATACTGTGAAAAGTGCAGTAAATTTAGGAATATCTACCACAAAAACACAAATACTGTCCAGTTGGCTATCTATTAGCCTTCAAGCATTTTCAAAACTCTAAGCGTCTTTGAGATGTTCCACACTGCTTTTGTTTCTGTTGCTGTGAACAGATGTGCCGCAGTGCCCAGTTATCCGGAAGTCGAGCTGCATAAGATGTCTTGTATCCGTCGTTAAAATTTATTGAGCGGAAGGCAGTTGTGGCAACATTGTGCTTTTTTGCAAGTTACCATAGCACTCATAGTGATTTATAAAAGCGACTTGCTAAGTAATGAAGTCCAGGTGAAGAAAGTGCTGTAAAATATCTGTAAAAAAAATAACTAACATTCATGGCCGGAATTACTTTTTTTCCACTTAGGCGCTTATTATCCAAACCGACTTGCTATCTCCAGCAGCCCGGAAGGCGTATCTGATTCGGCCGCCAATGCTGCAGCTACCATCGCGGCTGCAGCGCTGGTTTCCAGACAGCAGCAACAGCAACAGCAACAACAGCAGCAATACCTCTCACAACACCTTCTCGGTCCCGGCCCAGCCATTGTATCATTGGCCTACGCATCCCGTGAGTGCGCGTCTATTGTTGCTTTTTTTCGCCGCTAGGTTTCTCACGCATAGACTAGGCTCATAACACACATTTTCGGTTAATATTTACCGACTGTTTGAAAAATCACAAAGTACTTCTACAAATTTATCATTTGACAGTAATGTTAATTTCGTATAATAATTTACATCAATTTAAGGTAACTTTATTTTCTCAAACAACATTACAAATATTTTGCAAGACAAGTTGAAAATAAAAGTCAGTTGAGCCCAAAAATAGTAACTTTCCAAAACAATCAAACCTCAACAAACCGGTAGTACATTAGTAAGAACAAAGCTCTCACCAGAACTTAGCACACGCGGCCATAATAACAGCTCAAAACGTCATTGAATGTTGCGGACTTGATAATTGTGGGCTCGTTGAATAATAATCTGAAGGGACATTTGTGGAAAGAAATGATTCAGATTCAAAATAAAACTCTGCTATCTGTTCGGGACAACTCATAATAAAACAACTTGTAAACGCTGGATTTGTAAACGGGGTCTAGTTTATTTGAGTAATCAGGCGTGCAAAGATTAATAGGGGAGGACATTCTTGGTCAAGAAACGCTCAATTTTTATTCTTGAATAAGGTTAACCCAACGCAAATGTTTGATATAACGAATAAATGCATACATAATGGTTTGAGGCGAAGAAGAGTTTTTTACGGCAATATATATATATATATATATATATCGTAAGGCCATATAAGCTTATGTGAGAACATGGGGTTTTGTCAAATATTCTGGATATAGTGGATTTCCTGTCCAATATCCGAACAGTGGTGCCTTCCTCCATAAGGTTTCACTACTCTAATTTAACTGCGCTAACTTTTGACCAACCACGGGTTTCAAAACGTAGTTTTAAACATATAAAACTGGTGTTTTAGTTGTTTTTTCCTAGAACGAGATAGTTAAATACGACATGCACACCAGGGGACTCTGCACTTAAAGTCAGTAAACGGTTGACAAATGACAACAGCATAAATTACACTCACAAGTCCTATCCATTTACGACTAGTTCGTGCCAAAATAAAAGGTAATTTCAAAAGGACGGCGCGATGTTTTAGCTACCATAAAATTTAATAACATCATCAAATTTGAACTTACGTGGGTGCTATTTACAAAGAATGAAGAAGAGTTCTCTATCCAAACTTCCAAGAACGCAGCAGTTGATCAAACCGTGGAAAACCTTTGGGTCTAGCACAAGCTGTTTGATTAAGCCTTCTCGCATTCTATTTCGAAGCAAGAAATATGCGTTGATTTGTATGACCAGTTGGATAAAGTACTGAATTTGAGCGCCATTTCTATCGCTACTCGACTTAAAATAAGTCATATTGGCACTTCGTCGAAAAATTCTGTCAAGTTCAACTGCTTGAAGAAGCGTTTTTTGTAACAATTTATCGCAACTAATTTTAAGCTGAAAAGTTTTTACGATCTGATATATTCCCTAGTCGAGGATGGATCCTGTCACATTTAGAGCAGACCTGTAAAATATAATACATTGCGCGGGCGCTCCTTATTTTACTTACGTTCACCGTTATAATGTCCTAAAGAGCCATTCGGTGTCACTAACGGAAACATACGATATGGTCGCGAATCGACAAAAGAGGTAAAGTGTTCATTCCACTCAGGTAAATGATTGAGTTTTTCTGGTTTACGGTACTGTTGAAGGCAATCGGACAATTTGTTTTCCACTCAAGTTAACCTAGAGCTTCCGGTAATGGTACACACCGAGTATCAGGAAACCAACTTAAACATGAGTGATTCTCCCTGATAATGTGAATCTACATGAAGCCTATCAAACTTAACTCGTACACTATGATCAATATTTTGCTGCTTCCCGGTTAGTCTTCCGGGTAAAATTCACTGTTTTCATTTGGACTTCATTATTGAAAATTGCGGCTCTCCAGCTTTACACCAACTTATTAGTTTCCAGGCAAGTATATGGCAAAACAGTTGCCAAAAATATATCAGGCCCTCTTGGTACACTTTTAAACGTCACTGGCTGTACGGCTAGGTAAGGGCGTATCAGAAGCTCTAGTTCCTAAAATTTCACTCACATTAGTTAGGGACAAGTTGCAATTCAAATATTTTGGAGGAGCAAAAGCTTGGCTGCTCGATTTTAAGTCTCGGTAGTGCAGTAACCTCGAACTCTGGATTATTGTGTTTACTTAGGAAACTGCTTGTAAGCAGATGGTAGATTTCAGGTAAACCGGACCCCTAAACATTAGAGAAGTCATGTTTCCAAGTGAAGAAAGCTCTCTGAGCAAGAAAACGTACTCAACCAAAGTTTTCTCCCTAATGATATATTGCGGTTGCCATTGCACAAGCTGAAATGAGAAGCAATCACCAGGATATGCAAAAGAGTAACAGACTTTTACTGATTGGCTATGGTAAATAATTGGCATTAATAAAAAGCTTTCCTTTTGTTACAATACTTAGGGCAGGCTAGAAAACGTCATATATTTCCCCCAAAATGTAGGTTTTGCATTTATTCAGGGAATTAATCTTGAATTCAGTTTCAAAAACTCCGTGTAATAACGGACGGCTTCTGGTGGCGTTCGATAAAAGATATTGTCTGTCATTGAGTAATTTCCACTATTTTTTTACGGCTCCGTAGTTGTGAAGATGATAAATAGTCGGTTAACTTATTTTAAATAGTTCTTCAATAATCCAAAACCTGAATTTTGATAAATACGAAGTAACATGCCTACAGTAATTGGTGAACATTTATGAAGTAGATCCAAAAGAACTACGCTTAGACTTGTCTTCTTGTGTTAATTGGCTATTAATATCCAACTCCGAGTCCCTTTAACTTTCTGGACTATAACCAACATACGACTTGTACAAACCGAAGAAGGGGCTTACTGATGATGGAAACAGACACAAACCTCAGTACGGCGAATTGCACTGCTGTGTAAGTGGACTGCATTCGTCTCCTGTAGGTCGCCTGAATAAACACGCGGAAAGAACGGTAGTTTTTATTCACTAGTATTACTTTGCTCGTTCTGTGTGTACCTGAGCGTTTCATTTCAGTATCGTCTTGAAACGGGCATACAAAAGTCAAATCCTCTCTGTAATTTTTAGTTGCGCATATCTACAGTTGATGGTACACCGGTCAACATGATCTTCTTTCCCCACAACTTCATTTTTCGGTGAAAATATCAGAAATTCGTATAAATGCGGTTTTTGTGAAAAAGTATTGGCCAAAAAATAAGACAACGGGCTGAAAAAAGCCGGCTGTACCTTGCTGTGTATAAAAGCAAGCTTACTAGGGAATCCTAGTTCAACCGTAGAAAATGTCGACTAAACCAAGGTTGCTGAGTAAGCTATGAGTATGACGGAATGTATCAGCACAAATGGTTAGTGTGCAAGAGTTTACAGATGCCATAAAAATGTCATCTTGTGATTCTAGTAGTGGCCAGATTTGAAATTTTTGCTTAACATTATATTCCACTTGCAAAGGTGACCTATACTTATTGCCGAAAAGTATTACATGAATAAGTTATCTTATCAGCAGTGAGCTGCTTACGGGCATTCACATAAAGTCATATTGGAACCCCCTGGATAAATTGTAACCTCTATTTCTTCCAGAAATGGGTAGGTGATTACCCGCTGATCTGTCTGTTTGCACATAGGCAGTCTACACAGCTTAGTTTTTAATCGGCTTACTTTTTCGAAATACATTTCGCGTTGCATGTTTCTTCCTTTGTCAAAATGGTACTAAAAGGAATTATGTGATTTCTGCTCTCACAACAAAGATTACTTAAACGTCAAATTTAGAACGAGCAATTCAAGTGAAATCTGATGCCACATACGAATCTCACAGAGAACTTTATCTTACAAGCTCAAATGTTTAGTCAGAATTCTGAACCCGGGATCATGTCAGCTGTCTTAGTAGTAAGGTCGTGAAGTTCGACCGTTACTCTAAATCAGAAAAGCAAGGATGCACCAACGTATTTAAAAAAGATTCTTTGATACTCTAATAATGTTGAACTTTTTCTACGATTGCAGGCTGTCAGAAAAACTCAGCCACATTCGAAATCTTTCCCAAAACTCTGTGGAATGCGGTTATCGCGATAGAACGCTGATGACTTCAACCTTTTACTCCTAGCTGTTTAGTGTGTCATTAGACTAGGTCAATAAACACATGGTTAGCTTCGATTTTACTAATGAGCTTCTGGCCTTAGAGACAGTGGACCAGGCGCTGACATGGCCCCTCTAATTAGCCTGTGAACAGCAAAATTTTCTCTGTGCTCAACCTGAACAATGCCTTGTTCTAATGGGAGGTCATTGATTCTTTTCATTGTTTGGGAAACGCTCATTATTTTGTATGCTTTTTTAACACAAAGGCAACAGTTGTCAAGATTATTCATTCGCCATAGTTCAAACAAGCTGTTGTGACTAGCTCTTATGGATTTGAGAAATCTTGTGTATCACCATTCCTTGGAACCAAACTTTCGGCAACCCTAGAATCCTGCAGAATGCGAAATTTACAATTGGAAATTCAAAAAATACGGTTGACCACTTTACCGACGACCGTATTGCATGAGGGAAGCGTACAGTACCCAGCACCCAGCAAGCACCCACAGACCGCTGAGCAACCTAGCTTGAATGTATATTTTTGAGGTCTAAAAAAGCAAATAAATATCTGCCGATAAGTACGCCAGTAATATTTATAAACTGTTTTTTTGCCCATGGCTTGATTTGGTAGTACCTTTGAATTTTTTGTTCCGTCCAAACATAACCCAGTCCCTAAAAATAGACCATTATGGTTTTTGTTTCATTTCTTCTGAAGACAGCAACACTTTTTTGGAATGCTGATGGGACACTTGGTGCGATTGAAATCCATGTTTATTACTGAAATAATATGTGATATATATAGGATATTACAGTCAACATATAGCAGCAGTGACATAAAGCTAACACGAAAATAACATCAATTCAGTTAGTGATTTTTTATACGTTCCTGTTATGTAT